CTCGGTTCTTCATTAACAACTTCAATTGGTTGAGAACCAACTCTTTCTTGTATAATAGGAACTGGAACTACAACTTGATTAGGTTCAACAAGAATTTCTCTCAACGTGGAACTCCCACTATCTCCAAAATCGTTCTCCAGAAACTTAGCAGTAATGGACTCCACAATTCTAGTGCCGCGATTTGGACAGTAAAACTTATATCCCTTTGATCTATCCGGATACCCAATAAAGTAGCCAAGAGTTGATTTAGGGTCTAATTTATTTTCAAATGGATTATAAATTCTAACCTCAACTGGACATCCCCAAACTTTAAAGTGAGCCATACTTGGCTTACGTCCTGTCCATAATTCAAAAGGTGTCTTTGCAACAACTTTACTTGGAACTCTATTCAAAATATACATAGCTGTTTTCAAGGCTTAACCCCACAAATATTCAGGCAAATTTGTTCTACTCATCATACTTTTAACCATATCTTTTAGAGTTCGATTACGTCTTTCAGAAATACCATTCTACTCAGGTGTCCCTGGCATGGTGTATTGGGGCACTATTCCACACTCTTGTAAAAATTTTGCAAAATCACCCATATTTTGACCAGACTCGTCATATTTCCCATAGTACTCACCACCTCGGTCAGATCTTACAACTTTGATACTTTTCCCACATTGTTTCTCTACTTCCAGTTTGAAAATTTTGAATTTCTCAAGTGCATGTGATTTGTCGTTAATCAAATAAACATATCCATATCGTGAGAAATCATCAATGAAAGTTATGAAATATTTATTCCCACATATAGTGGAAAGCAAAGGTCCACTGATATCAGTGTGAATTAAGTCCAAAATTTCATTACTTCTAGTCGAACCCTTTCTCGTAGACTTAGTTAACTTTCCTCTTATAAAATCTATACAGGTGTCAAAATCGGAGAAGTCTAAGGAAGGAAGTATCTCATCTTTTACTAATCTTTCCATTCTATCCTTAGAAATATGACCCAATCGTTTATGTCACAACATAGAGGATGATTCATGAATTAAAGCTCTTTTCTTTGATGCATTTGTAACACATGAGACATCCCCAAAAGAAGCCAAAGATAATTTATATAAACCATCACATAAAATGTCATTTCCAATCAAACGAGAATCATTAAATAACTTAACCATTTCATTACCAAAATTAAATGTAAAACCACAAGCATCAAGTTTTGGTATAGAAATTAAATCTCGTCTCATCTGCAGTACATAAACTATATTTTTCAAAACAAGATAAAAACCAGACTCTAAAGTTAACTTCACTACTCCTATGAATTCAACCTTCACTTGAAATCCATTTGCAACGCTCAAGCTTACTTCATTCTCACTTGGCCTCCATTTGCTTATGAACCCCTGCAAGGAATTCGCAATATGAATACTAGCTCCTGAGTCTAACCACCAAGAATTTAAAGGCACATCTACTAAAGAAAACTCAAAACAAACTAAGGTCAAGGAAATTACCTGGAGAACTCCTCTTCTTTTCCAACCAAGTTTTGAATTTAAAACAATCTTTCTGCCAATGACCCTTCTTTTTACAGAACTTGCATTGATCATTTTTCTTTATAACTACTTTGGGACCACTAAAATTTTTATTCTGCTGACTTCGATAGGACTTATTTCCCTTACGAAACTTAGGTTTATAATTATGAGAAGACCCCTTATTCTGTGATGGCTGAAAAGCTAATTGCACAGTTTCAACAGTTTCACGGCGCATCCTATACTCTTCTTGGGCACATACTGCTATGAAGTCATTCAAATTCCATTTATCCCGCTGAGCATTGTAAGCAACCTTAAGCTGATTAAACTTGTTAGGAAGGCTATTCAAAACATGATAGATCAGGAAAGGCTCCGCAATGGGAATGTCAAGAGCCTTTAGCTTAGATAATATATGTATCATTTTCATGACATGCTCCCGAACACCACTTGTGCCATCATATTTCATGCTCATCAATTTATCCATCAGGTCCCCAGTTTCTGCTTTATCAGACTCAATAAGTTTTTCTCCTATGGCATCCATAAAATTTTTGGCATTTTTATTATCAGGGATGGCACCTAGAATGGAATCAGATGTCGATCGCTTAATGATTTTCAAACAGAGTTTGTTAGTCCTTTCCCACTTTTCATGCTCGGCTACATATTCAGCGGTACTTTTATCTGTGGGTTTTTCAAGCTTTTCTCCATTGCAAAATCCAAGCCCAAAAGACCAAGTGCTATTTCTATGTCTCGCTTCCATCTCACATAGTTATTCCCAGTCAAAGTTTCAATAGCAGACAATTGATTCGAAAGAGATAAGGCATTATAAACTGTGGAAACATAAAATACCACACTCAATATCATCCAAACATAATGCATGCAATCAAATGGATGATGTAATATCCAACTAATTAATATGGGCTATTAATTAGATAATCCGTAATTTAAATCAAAACATATGAATTTCATTACGGTAAGAGCCTAGATGCATCATTGTAAAGTCACCTTTGGGTCGACAATACAATATGCTATAAGGTACTTTTAAAACTTATTATGTAGCCAGTTAACAAAATTACACTGATTTTCGAATCACCAACACCTTTGGGCAGAAGGAAATTTCTAGACTAAAATAATCTCGTTAACTGTCTTATACCATTTTCCAAAAATACCACATATAACAACACCTTTGAGCAAGATATTATATGTAATAAATTAAAAATTGTTGCGCAAAATATATGTATTTTTTTTTATTGTAGAGAAAATCGAACAAATAGTAATGAGTGTGCCACTTTGGCAGCTACCGCTCATTTCTATTTCAAAATATTTCTCTTTGTGGGAAAAATAAGGATCGTTTCAAATTCCATAAAAATTCAATCACAAAACAATAATTATGCAACAAATCACAATCATTAATTGATAAAAGGCAAAAATTCATATGTGATTGAGAGACGAAATTGACAACAAATTTTCAAAAAATGAAATTTAAATGCAGAAATAATGGCAATACATAACATTTTAATGAAATAATACAAAAGTCGTCAATTAATTTTGTTATTATTATTGTCTAATATATTTTAATCAGGTCAATTATCAATTAAAGTTTTAATTTGGTCAAAAATAAAATTTTAGGGTCAAAAGTTTAGAATTTCAAATTTAAGAGCCCCTTATTGAAAATTCCATTTTAATACTAAATACAAATTAAGATCAGGTCCTTCATATTAAAAATTGCATGGCAGGTCCTTATTTAAGTAATTACAATATGACCCCCCAACTGATAATTGCAAACAGGGGTTTAAAGATTGATTATTTACGGTAGAAGCCCCTGCCTACCTTTGACCGGTTTCCCACAGAAACTGAATTTTTTTATTTTTTTTTAAATGTGACAGATCACCTCGATTTTCATATTTGAACAGACAGCACAGCATGTTCACAAGGAACTCAAATTATAGTGGCCCAAACTTCAACAAATACGACAAGATCATGGAAATGCTATATCTCAATATATATATCATCATAATCTTGCATCTCTCACAATATTTATATGCTTCGCAAGTCACATGGTAAATGGCAGACAACACAAGAATGTATTTCTTGTACTGTCATTTAAGACTTTAATCTTCTTCAAAAAATTTTAATTAAAGAAAAAATTACATTAAACTATGATAAATTGCTTCAAGCAAAAAATCAGACCAATAATATAGAACTATCATGATTTTTAAAATAGGTAACAGATGTAAAAGGCACATAATTCACGTGATTGGGAAATTTCTAAATTCACGTTAGAATTCAAGGGATGAACGAGAAAACCCAAGTTTTTTCCAAAAATACGGGAATCGACAAAATACCATGTGAAATTAGAATTTTTTTTTTTGTGACTATTCTCATACAATTTTCATTGAGCAGTTTGTGTCTATATATATATATATAGTGAGAGAAAGTTAGAGAGAGCATTAAATTGGTGCAGTTTCCAAAAGAGGAGTAGTTGTTTGAAAATCGAAGTGAGGGCATGCGTGTTATTGGTTACCCTGTGGGGCAGTAAAAACTTTGTAATTATTCGGTAAAAAATTACAGAAAGAATATTAGTTTTACGTAGGATTTTTTTATCTTAGCATCAAGCTCTGATACCAATTATTAATATTTATTTGTAATCATGCCAAGAATCAAGAATCACCACTAATAAATTAATAAAACGAATTCATACTTGCGAAAGTTATTGTTGATATGAATAATTGTTATAATAGCAGTCAAGATCTTCCTCTCCTTACTCCTCACAAAAGCATTAGCTATCAATGGGGTAAGCTAATGAAACATACATGGAGAGGAGAGGGGACCTAGCCTTTATATATAGGAAATAATTTGAGTCGTTCCATTACGACTAGAATTCTAATTAGGGTTTATTTTCGGCCCACATACTTTAAACTACCACATAAAATTAATTACAACCCGTAAGGTGTAAAAGGCCCAATTGATCACTTAATAAATTTGGCCCAAACACAATTATCATTATGAGTCATATATCTAACCCGTAAAATTTTGCAATCGAATGTGTAACCCACATATGGAATTATTAATTATTCCAACAAGTGTATCTTGTTTTATATTATATGCATATATTTGAGAAAATTAATTTTTACTCAGGTGGTTTTGTCCATATTTCAAGGAAAATTCTATCAAAATTCTTTTAAAAATATATTTTTTAGTCAAGCAAGTCAAAGTTATCTTGGTGGTGGGTCCGATGTTAAGCTGGTATCTGCCATCGACGCACGACACATGTCGGATCTACTAGGATGATTTGGACGGGTCGTGTCAATCTAATTATACAGAATCAGTGGAATCAAAATCATCAATTTAGGGGATTAAATCTTGAGAGATTCTCTGCTTATTATGCATAGCTGCTGACCCAGAAATTGGAAGGAGAAGAGAATATATATATATATATATTTTTTTTTTCATTATGAACTATGAATTTTGAGAATATTAAGGAAAACAAAGTCTGTTGGCCCAAATCTATACCAGAAGTAGCATCTACAAATGCGCATAGCCACTACTTTATTGTTGGGCTGCAAGTAAGATAACGATTTTCAGAGGTGTCTATAGATGGTAGCCAAATTGCAAAAATGATAAGAGAGAGAGAGAGACGCACACACATCGCAAATATGCAAATCTGAGAGAGAGATTGTACCACTATAATGGACGTGGTGTGCTAAAGCCAACTGCTAATGTTGAAATTTGGCTATATAATAAGGTTACTTTCCTTAACGCTCTCAGTTTTTCTTGTGGCATTCTGTTTTAGTACATTTTCCTCTGGTTCTCACTGAGCTATTTGACGGATTGCATTTTGTTGGCAATGAGGGATTGCATTTTGTTGGCAGCTTATGAAGCTCATGAGATACTTTCTCGGAGTGCTGAATTTCCGCCTGATGTATTTACTTCCTGCCTAATAACACCTTTAAAAAGGGCACTCCGATGGTGACATATTTCTCCTAACCCTTCATCTTAAGAATTGCCATAGATGTTTTCAACTTCACCCCCAGTTTATAGTTAATTTCTGTGTCTGTAAAAATCTACAGATGTTTGTGGCTAATACACTTGTAGTTGGTGATAAGTAGAATTAACTTTTACCTCTCTTATTGAGAATCTTTTTCCTATTACTGTGTTCCCATATTTGCGTAATCATTATGCCCCTTTCATCTAACAACAAAACTGTATTAAATAATCTTCCTGAATGAGTTTTTAAGTTGGAATCATATACTACAAAAAAATTCCTTTTAAAAAGGAAGAAATGTTCAATTATCATCCAGAGACAATACACATATTGTTGCCAACTCGCAACTGATAATACTAATGTACTTTTTCATGAGCTTTGATTTACTAGGTGAACTTTGTAGTTCCTGAATAATTAATTTCCATAAATTCACTTTATCTTCTATCTTTAGCATCTCCAATGTGCTTTACCTATTCAGCTCGTTGCTGAGTGTTCTCATTTCAGATAATTATGTTATCAGTTGCTCTGTAGCAAAGATGTTTTTGAGTATATTAGCGAGTTTTCAATGTCGTATGAGCTTCCATTTGTGCAAATATCAAATAACAATGTGGTCTTCATATCATATGTTCCAGTAGCTTGAGATGCTTATCAGGGATTTTTACCTTCTGTCTGGCCTAATTTTCCCATTAATTTATATTTATGGCCCAACATTTATAGCTTGCTTCAATTTAGGGAGCCTTGGGAAAAAGCATATCTGTTAGGAACTGCTTCTCTAGAATTTGCAAATGAGCAATTATTCCAAGTATTTTAGCTGGAACAAGTTCTTTTAGTTGATTCTTGATGCATTTGTCTAAAAAAAAAAAAAAAAAAATTGGAAAAGACTATATGTACATAATTATTGCACATAATATTGTCCATAATGTGATTTGGCAATCATCTGGCTGGTGATGTGAAAGTGTGAGATTTGAATTAAAGATTAGATTCAGTGTCACATGTAATTATAGATACCATTATGTAGACAATTATGTACATGTAGCACTTCCCAAAAAAAATTCCATCGCTTCATTGAATCTTCTTTTTCTTGGTCAAATGTACTTTGCTTGAAGTGTTGAGCCAAACAAACCCTTAGAATAAGACACATTTTAACATCGAATGGGCATAATTATCATTAGCTCGGTATGTTCGTTATAAATGTTACAATGATTTTGTTAGACATTAGCATATTGTGCAAAAAAGAATCAAAAGTCATTCATTTTGAGAAAATGTTTCTTTTGAGATAACCAATCGAAAATAGATGAAGATATATATGGACACCTACAGTTATATCATTTATATTGTTTAACAGTAAATCACTCAACTTTTGCAAAATGGGACCCCATGTATAACAAGTATATCACTGAACTTGTTATTCATGTATATCAGTGAACTTGTTATACATGGGGTCCCCTTTTTATGATATACTTTATTCATCTAAGACAGATTTGTTCATCTAAGACAAATTTAATAAAGTTAGTTATTAGTTTTTTGAATATAAATGTTAATGAAATAACAAAAAAAAAATTCAAATGAAAATTTATTTTCTACAATTATTATTCCAACTAACTCACAAAACAACAATATAATATTCCTACAATTATTATCTTCACTTATTATCTCAACTACTAAAAGTCACGAGAGTTCTCACATGTGAAGATGCTTTTTTACATTTTATCTCATCAATCATACTAAAATTTTAGCAATTTCACATATTTTCAAGAGAAGAAAGGTGTTCAAAGTAGAGAGAAGTGTCCAAGGTGCAAACATTTAGCTGGATAAAAGGTAAGATTTATTGTTGAAATGGATAAGAAATGGCTTCTCGGCACCTGTCCTCTTCGTGCATAGAGAGCTGCTGGAAGACATTTTCTTCTTCAAAAGTAATTTAAATTTTATACTAAAATATGTTTACTGCATAACTAATAATGCAAAGGAAACTAAAAACTATAATCACTTTTAAAATTAAATCTCATAGTTGTCTTTGTTACAAGAGGCTTAGTTATTCACTTATAAGTCTTCATTCTATCTGAAATATAGTATGTATAAAGTCTTGAAATTTTAATATTATTTTGTCATAATCAACTGAAAACATAGATAATAACACTTGAATTGTTGCCATTGTGAGATGTAGATATAGAGTTAGAATTTATGGAAATCTTATAAATTTAAATTTGTCTACTTTTTTTATTGGATTTGTCTATGCAGATGTCTCTAGAATATATTGTCCCTTAGAATCAATAGTTTTCTGCCACTATCTGTCAATATTCAAATCGGAAATATCTCCAAAATTTTATTGAATTTATAGATACAAATCAACAAGCTTCTGTTATGTGTAGTAATTTCCATAGATTTTTTGCGGGAGTTATTTATNAGGTAAAATATACTTTTTTTATGAATGCACAATTACATTTCCATTTCATCATTTAAAAACTAAATTTAGTTATCATGATTACAGATTGAGGTAATTGCAGTATTATATCCCACCGAAGAAAAGTTAGAAATATTATGGTATACAACTCTTTCAATGCCAGCTGATAATCAACATAGCATCTTAGATGGTATTTTTAGTGGGAAATTATACAACATAGTACAACAAATCCCAGAAAATATCTTTGTGCAAGAAACGACCATTCCCAGTAGTTCGAGAACTTCTCTTGGAGTTGGTCCCACTTCTTCTTCTGCTTTTGATACTTCCAACTATATAACTCGAGAATAAATGGAAGAAATGCTGGGAATACATAGGCAAAATTTAATATCAGATGTGTCTGGTATATGCCATAACTAGAAGGAAGAAATAATTTACAGTCAAAACCAGTTGTTTGAACAACATTAAAAATGGCAAGAAGATCATATACAATCTAGTATTCATTCTTATATGGAAACTATTCTTAACAGCCACAAACAAGTATTCCAACAGGAATTCTAATAGTAGCAAAAATGGCAATAAAATAATATTTTAGGCAACATGCAATTTTATATCGATAGCAGTTTAAGTTCAATGAGATCTTATGTAGATGAACAGAACAAGAATACGTTGAATAATGTATCAAATATAGAAGTCATTATTGGTTTTATGCAGCAAGATGTTCCTATCCACACAATTCCAATTCCCGGCGATATGTCAAGGCAAACATCAACATATGAACAACAGACGGAAAGTTTTGAAGGGTTGAGAAGAAAAAATAAAGATAAGGGAATTCAAATATTGTCTTCGTCATGAAAAAATTGTCTTTTAAAAGCTTATCCAAAGGACAAGTACAACATAATTAGATATTGGATATTGCATAATCCGTCAGGGTAACAAATTTAACTCTATTGTATTAGCTCAAATACTATTTTTTTTATTCTGTGGATGGTAAATTATATTATCTAATATTAATTTATATTTTTATATAGTACGTATTGGGAGGATGGCGAAAATTATATTGGAATGGACATGTTGAAAATTTTGTTGGATGTAACAAAAGATGTAACTGCCATGGTGAGTAAAGTTTAGTAATTACAATTAATTTAATTTGATGTTTGATAGCAATAAATTAAATTTATATGTATTTACTCTATTAGAGTATTGAGTTGGAGTTGAAGTTACTAAGGTGACTTATTAAGGATGGTTCTATCCTAATTTCTAAAGACTATACAATAATGTATTTCAAATTTGAAGATGAGCGTTCTAGTATTTTCAACTGGCTAATAGAAGAGAAAAACAAAACCACTAAGGATAAGTGGACTTCACTCCATTAGAAAAATACGCGAATAGTGTTTCGCTTATAAATGGTCGTAAATGGATGGCGTGCAAGCATCTATTAATTCCATGCTCATTTCTTGACAATTGTTGGTATCTTTTTGTGGCGAATATTTCTAAATGAAAATTTCAAATATATGAATGTAGCAATGGTATTCTTATACCAGATCAAGTCGTGATACATGCAAAAGCAACACATAGTACAATTCATGCATTCATTCTAAATTCTGAGCTTTCTATCAGAAAGGATGTAAGGAAACATAGAACTAAAACATTACAAGTGGAGATCATACCTTATCTACCATGTGCAAGCAATGGGTGAGCATTTAAATAGCTATTTATTTGTTATAGTATTTAATTTTTTCTTTATATTAATTTAGCCTAATGTAAAACTATTTCTTCTACAGGCAAAATTGTGGAATGTTCGTACTAAAATATATAGAATGCTTTGTCCTATGGCAGCCAACAGAATTAGTTTCACTTGATAGGATGTCAATTTATAGACGGAAGATGGTAGTGGATATTTGTAACAATGAATATTTTCTTCATCTTCCTCCTTAGTTATCTGGTCATGTAATGAGAATAAAAATTTGTAACAATGAATATTTTCTTCATCATCGTCCTTAGTTATCTGGTCATGTAATGAAAATAAAGGTTATGTAATAAGTTTTTGTTGTGTTATTTTTTTTCTTTTTTTATTTTGTCATATTATTGATGTATATATAAGAAAAAATTAAACTGTGGTAAAATCATGATAAACCTAAATGAATTGACAATGTTTTAGTTTTAGAGTGTGTTTGATTGGCATGGAAAATATTATCTAGAAAAGAAAATATTTTACATATTTTATGGAAAATAAAAACCACCTCTACCCAAGACAAATGTTTTCCATAAAAACAAGGAAAATTAGGCATATTTTCAAAAGTTGGAAAATATTTTTCATGGAAAAAAAATAGCAATCAAACAGTCTAAGTAAGAATTTGGGTGAAAAACTGATATTTTTCATGAAAAATAAATATAATCAAACACACCCTTAGTATAAATCAACATTATAATATCACAATTTTACATAGTTTCTTTCCTCATAAATTTATTGTTAAATATTCATATTTATGCTTTAAATAAAAAGATGATGAAAAAAATCAAGCATAATAGCAAACAAAAATTATTATAATTAAAAAAAATATGAAAATAACTAACCTTATGTAGCTGACAGTTATTCCTCTGTTGAAACATGATGTATAAATCTTTACTTTGGCAACAACCGTACGATAGCTTAATTGTTGGATAATTTAGAATTCTAGACTTGTTAAATAGAATGTGTTAGATTCAAAATTTCCAGATATACCACATTTTTTGTGCAACAAGTATGTGATTTATTTTCGTCTGCTAGCTTAATCAAAACTTTTATATTTTATCTTGTTTTTGTTCTAGATGATGCAACGTACACGGGTTCAGGAAGATATAGACCTACAAAATCTAATGTTTGACCTTGTACCTTGTTAATAGTCATAGCAAAACAAGGACGAACGGGAAATTGAGTTCTTTTAAAAGGTACTGAATGTTTATCTCTCACAAGTGAAATAAATGGAATTTTAGGTAAAAATACTTGTTTTTCATGATATTCACCAGATCCAATTTCAGCTAAAATAACATTTTGTTTAAATTCACGACAAGTAAGTCTAGTTTTATTGCACAAACCTTTTGAATGATTAATATTTTTGAGCAACATAATAGGACAATTTTTTTCAGAATAAGTTCATGTGGAGGTATACCATTTGGAGTTAAACTATTCAAAGAATCTTCATGAATAACTCCTTACGTTTTATCAATCACATCATCGAAACTGAAATATGTAAATGTATCTCCTAGAATTTCTTTAACTAACATATTGTTTATCACAGCTACATATTTATTTTTTGGAGTTAAAATAATTCTATTCATTATAGTATTTAAATTGTCATTATAAGTACGAAAATTCGAAAACACAATGCTGATCAACTTTTTCAATTATTTAATTTTATCTTCAAAATCTATGACAATATCTAAAGGAAGCTTAATCATGCGACATATATGCTCCTTTTCAATTCCGTTTCCAATTTTGAGTAAGTATTCACAAAAGGAATTATCCAATTTAGCTCTCATATTTTGAGTTAATGGTAGTTGTCTAAAGTATTGCCACAAATATGAAAATACTAAACTTGCTTTCATAATATTATCTTTTGTTCCTCTCTGTACCACTAGCAAAATTTGACGAAAATCCCCTCCACACACAATGACATTTCCACCAAATGGCAATTCACATTCAATAATATCTTTTAACATTTTATCCAAAACTTCAAAAGCATATTTATTAACCATTGGTGTTCCATCCCACACAATTAGCTTCGTCATTTGTAAAAGTTAACTAAGTGCAGATTGTTTACTTATCGAACATCGCATATCAAGACTTGTTTGAAGAGGAATTTTAAAATGCGAATGACCAGTTCTTCCAGCAGATAATAAAGAAGCAGCTACTCCAGATGATGTTGTTGCCAATGCAATGAGTTGTCTACATCGTACTGTAGCAAGCAATGCTTTGTACAAATAATTTTTACCGGTACCTCCTGGACCATCAATAAAAAAGTCTATTTTTATCGTTGAAAACACAGTCTAAAATATTATCATAAGCAAATTGTTGTCCTTTATTTAAACTCTTTGTAAAATGCATGTCAGACTCAATACTAACCTTTACACTTTCTTCTAAAATTATATTTGCTAACATGTCGGTGTCATTTATAGTAATATCGAAATCTGTGAATCAAAAAATTATTTACACTTTTACCTATAACTTCTAAGAATGAATTTATACACCGTAGACCTCTAATTTCAGCATCGTACTTTGTCTGACTTGTATGTAAAAAATCTTCTATCATGTAAGCTTTAAATTTAATCCACGAATTTCTAGGATTTGTAGGGGCACAAAAAATCAGCACATTAGCAAAAAGTAGACATAGAGATATAGGCATTTGATAAGAAATTGCCTCAATTAAACACATGTCACAATAATTATTTACAGTTATTAGACTATGTAAGAATGCAACCTGGCGATAGATAGGTACTACTACACCATTAACTGTTTTTAAATCTTCAAAAGATTTTGGTCCTTTAATATGACTCGATAAAACTCTTAAAAAGTATCTCTCACCCTCAGATGGATTAGCAGCAACCATTCTACCAATAACATTTTGCTTTTTTCTAGTATTCCAAACTCGCAAATATGTATTCCATACAAAGTATGTAGGAAAATTTTTATAAAGTAAAGTCCGAGCCTTTTGATTAGAAATATTCATTCGAAAAAATTCAGTTAACATTGTTCGTTGGATAAAGTCTTTATTTACAACTTCTGATAAATCATCAGTTTCATTGTACGTAACTAATTGAGAATTTTCAACATGTAATTGCAAAGAAATTACAAAAGGAGATATGTCAAATAAATCAAAACTAAAAATTCTCCATATAGCTTATAGCGCAGATATTCATCTAGCAATTTGGTAATTTGAAATTTCATCAATATAATATTCATTGGTTTCTTTATTCACAGCAAAATTAACACGATCATGTCCTTTGTATACATATTTATATAAATATTTCATAGCTTTAACAGAATAACATATTTCTATATTAATATGACAATCATATTTAGCTAAAATATACGGATTGTATGGTATAACATATCTATTGTCTAGTATGTATCCTCTGACTCTAACAATAACACCATCGTTATGACATTTGTAAAGCGAGGAAGAATTATTACTTAAAGAAGTATGTAAAATATATTCTTTTGGATATTTATTTTTGCATGTATGGTTGTTTTTCATGCAAACATTTGTAGGATTTAATTGTCCACAAGAATCATGCATCATCTGTTTGATCACAGTAGCATGCAGGTAAGAATTTTGCTTTTCATCTGGTATTTCACACGAAAGAATTTCATCAACTTGCATAGAATTAATAATCTTAAATTTTGGTTTAAATATAAGAAGAAAATGAACGTGAGAAAGATCTCTTTTTTGGAATTCAATCGCATAAACACAAGCAACTACATGCCCTAGAATTTCCCTTTTTAATAAATATGTTCTTAGTTCCTTAAGCTTAGATCGAAATATTCGTGCTAACAAGTCAGGCCTATTCTGTATTTCATCATTATGTTTCAATTCTTGTTTAATTTTAGGCCAATTTGGATTGCATATCATTGTTAAAAATACATCGGGTTTTCCATATCTTTGAATTAAAGACATTGCATCCATATATCTTTTAATTAAATTTCTAGGACCTCCAATAAACCCTATTGGTAATACTATTGATTTATCAATCTTATAGCATCTATTCTCTTTAAGTATTATGCCCTATGTCCAATCCACTTTGGACATAAATACTTTTAATATATAATTAATGCAATTTAATGGCAGATCTATTATTTAATTAATAGACAATTAAATAAATAATAGAGTCCGTAGATTCAAATTTTCGTAATTTGTTAATCACAAGGAGTTATGGTTGTGAGATACAAATTACATCTGATTGAATCTTAAATTGTCCATGGTTGTAAGTAATAACGAGATACGAATATCGTTATTACGGATAAACTATCACGTGTGACATTTCTTACTTGTGAAGTAAGTAACTGATCTCACAAGTTAAAGTGTTGTGACACTTAAATGAACACGTTGATGTTTTGTTATAGGACAAAACATTGGAGATCCGTCGAGAGATTCCACATGAATAACTATCTGAGTATCAGTGGTTAATCTCTAACATTCGGTAGTGGAATTGGTCATTTGACTTGAGGTCGTCATGGGACCTTATATGAGGACAGTCATACTTTGGCGGTGTTTGATATTACTCTGCAAAGGGCCGCTAATACGACATCGTTCGGGTACGTCAAGAATTGTATGAAGGTTGTGATTGATCAATAAATGATTCGACGCTCTTAGACAGTAGGAGATTACGATCTGCGTTTCATTCAATTAAGTCGATGATGAAATCTTTGGCCAAGGTATACTCATAAGTCGAAAAGGAGTTTTCGACTTATATTGACTTAATAGTGGAATGAAAGATATGATCCTTAATCGAGATTGACACACTTTCGTATCTCGTAATTGATCGGATCATATTGACGAAGGGATTATAGTTTCACGGTAAACAAATGAGTTTAGTTTTGTCATACCACGTGACATTTCCCGTCACATGTATTGCCCTGACACATTGTTAGATGTCAATCTGGGACGGCGAGTGTAAATTGATGATAAATTAAAAGGGTGTTTTAATTTATCAATTTTGATTAGATCAAAATAATATTTCACGTCGTTAGGCATCGTGATTGAGAACCTGATGGGTCGCATACAAAAGAGAATTAGAAGATTGCAAATTTGTCAATTAATTAATTTAACAATCGTTGGATAAATTAATTAATTGGGTTGGTTATTTATAGGCCCGAATTAATTAATTGGATTGGTGCAATCATAAGTTTTTTACCGAGTCATTCTTCCATGAATTGCTGAAAGTAAAAAGAAGTTCATCAAAATTGAAACGCATAAGTTTAAATGATATCACTCTTTAAATTAACGAGTTTTTATCTCTCGAATATCCAACCGATCAATTAATTCTTTATAACGTACTCTATTTTTTTTTGACAAATAAGCCAGTAATCGTTGACGTTTTCCCAAAATTTTTCGCAAACCTCTCTGAGATGAATAGTCTTTTTTGTGCAATTCCAAATGTGAAGTAAGTCTCCTTATCTTAGTGGTGAAACTGAATACTTGAAATTCACGGACCGGATTTAATTAAATGGATTAATTAAATATTGGACCGGACCGAGCCATGCCCGTTTGGGCTTATATAAATACGTGGCTAGGGTTTTCATTCCATATTATTTTTCTCATAATTATTCTTTCTAGCACAAGAGGAGAAAATTCTGGTAGTTGCAATCTTGTTCTCTGTGTGGATCACCGTTGAAGGCTGAACAATTGGACAGTTGTGGATGGCGAATCAATATTGCAGGAACGAAAAGAAAAGTAAAATGCTTGCAGAATTCTTCAAAGGTACAATCTTTATCACGATTTCTATCTAAACACAAAGGAATTCTCGGTGGGAATCGAAATTATTTTAATTTTTCGCTGTGCTTGTATAAGTAGATTCCCAACATTCTCACTACTTTGTACACTATCTATAATTCATTGGTAAAGTTCCGCTATTATAATCTTTTGATTATTTCAAAAATAGTCCAATCTTGTGGTTTCAATTTTAACATGCATATCTACTATATATTGCTGCAAAAGTCTGCCTGTGCGTCACTTAAAGTTTGTAACAATAATATTCGCGACATGATATATTCATTCGTTTCTTCGTTTTCTTCAATACTGAAAAGAAATATGAAGAAAAATTTTGAGAAGGACAATATAATTACATACTCCTTTATTACATATAAAACAATTTCACAGATGATAAAACTTATCACTATCTTCCATTTCCAAATGTTGTTCTGCAGAGTGAATATTATTAATTTGTATAAAATTTTCATCCATGAGTGAAGAAGTATTCAAATTGACTTTTTTTGATACCTTCGTACCATGCAGGTTCTCCATAGGCAAATATTAATGGATACTGAAGTGGATCATAACAGCCATAATAGTAATTTACTTTATATGAAGTGTTAGAATATCCATAAATTAATATATCACGATTTTAAAAGCTTGTAGATGGGTCTTCATCAACCCACACTGCGGCTACCTGCTCACACCATGGCATATTATACAGTGTTTGGTCAAGACCTGGATCACACCTAAGCACAATATGATATGAACCAAAATCAGAAACTTCACTTAATGATTGAAAAAAATCGGCAATATAGATTCATCTTTAAGACATCTATCAATTTTCTCAAAGTTGTTTCACATAACATGTCAGAATTTTTTAGTCTATTAGTGATTCCATTATCAGTATCATAGAAGTATAACTATAAATATGTTGGTTTCCCATCAGTTGGTAACAATGGATTTATAAAATGGTACACTTGTCCTTGAACTCTAAATGTATATATACCTTTATTATTTCTGCACATTTTTATCATATTTAACACCAAAAAAAGTGAAAGCAAAATGATTGTTATAACTACGAGCAACTTTTTGAAAAGCAACTGTCTCATATGAAGTAGAAGTAAATAACTCAAACAATTCAGGGAACACTATTTTACTGTAATCTAACTTTTTCTTCACAACAACAAAAGCCCTTACTTTCTTTATGAAACTTTTTTGCAACGCAATATTTACAAATTATACATGATCGAAGAATATAAGTTTTGATCGGAATATCTCGTAAATTTATTCGGTTGGAATCAACTCTTTTAAAATCACGTAAAATATTAGGAATTTTTTATGTTACATATTCTTTTTCAGAGTCTTTTTCAGGACAAATGTTTTCATCCTTGTATAACTCAATACAATCATCTATAGAACCTAAAAACATAAAAATAAGATTGATGAAAGCTAACATAAACAGTTCTAAAAAACCAAAAAAAAAAAAGAAGAAGGAAAAACACAAGTAAATGAACATAAAAAAAACCCAAACTTATTTCAAACTCACGACATATAGTTCGCCTTTTCTGGTGCATAACTTGTAGTGACTTCCAAAATACCAAATATGTATGTTAAAATTATGTAGAAAAGGAAATGAAAAAAATCAACAAAAAATCATATTTCAACAAATAATTATACCTAAAACTCTTTTACGCAATTTGTCTTCTTTTCAGAATCTTGTGTTTGTGTGGACGGCGTTCTTGAATGAGCACGTTTATTCTTAAACCAATTATAAACATTCTTATCACAAATTTGGCAATAGAACGACAACTCAGAGATGACTATCTGTGGGATTTTTGATTTGTCTAGAGTTGTGTTGCCTTGATAAAATATAGATTCAAGAATTTGGAGTTAGGGAAATGTAGGTGTCCATCTACCCATTATCACTATCAAAGCAATCAAGTTATGACAGCAAGCAAGTCAACTCCAAGTTATGCAAATCCTCAAACTTAAAATAGAAAAAATTAATAAAATATACTACATTGAAAAAGGAAAAAAAATTATTATTATGCTAACCCCGAGAAATATAGACTATCCATAACTATGCATAGACAAGCCACCATGCTTCAACTATTTATTAAAGTGTGCATAGACATCATATTTTAATTATTTATTTAAACATGCCTAATGAATAAAAACAAATATAATAGGGAAAAATCTAAACAAAAATTGGGAGAAAGAGTTAGATTATGCCTTTTTTTCATGTTATATAACATGTATTTATTAGCAAGAAATCATCTAAATTTTTTTGACGAGATTAGGTAACTTGAGATAGATGTTTTTAGTTTTATTTGATTCGATGAGGTTTATGCATGAATTTGATAACCATGTTATTGTTCTTGCACCATGTTGTCTGAAATTTATAATTGATTAGTGAAAAGTATTGATTTGTTATCTCAGAAATAAGACAATCTAAAAACTTTGGTTGATTTTGCTTGGCTACTCTATGCAAGGCTGTTACCTCCGTGAAGACTTAGACATCTACTGTCTTTTTGTTATTTCCAAAAACACGTTAAAAGAAAAACGAAAAAAAATTGTGGCCTCAGTGCACGGAGGTTTTTTTCTTTTTTCTTTTAAAATATTTTTAGGAATAATAAGAGGACAGTTTTTTCAATAAAAATTTGTCTATTCTACCACCCGCGAATCTTTTGTCAAATTTAATTGAAAAGGCAAAGTACAATTTTTTTTTAGCTTAAATACCTTTAATTTTCACCAGATTTTTTTCATTCAACTCATCCATACTTCAAGTATTCCACATAACAAATAATAAATTTCTCATAAAATGGATATCTCACGTAGTTTCTTCAGAATCATCACCCCTTCCCTGAATCACAATATTCAGTTGGTTAGTGCTTCTTTGAAATTTTAATATATGTTTTATCACATGCTTATATTTTTATTATTTTTATATGTATATATAATATAGATACTTCCTACATCTTTTGTCAATGACTGGAAGCAACAACTTTGTGATGCAATACAAGTAACTGCATATGATGGCATAATAATTGTCACCATCAAATTAGAAATAGTCGATGGAAAAATATATCTAGCCGATGGATGGGAACAATTTTTCGACCATCATAATTTACAAGATGGTTATGTTCTAGTATTCGAATATAACGGTAATTTCAAATTAAATATGACTATATTTGACCATTTTGGGTTAGAGGTTACATACGACTCTGATGAAAAAGGCCAAGAAGGAAACACTTCAGATAATCCCATATTTGAAATAACATTAACACCTCGTCTTAACAGATCAGATCCACGATTCTCTGCAATTGTCGAAATTTGTGCTCAACATTCAGATCCACGATTCTCTGCATCAAAATTGGGACATTACCACAAATTTAAGACTAAGTGGCGTAATAAGATGTCTCACTATAGGTTGGGCTGATTTTGTTATGGAAAAACAACTACAAATGGACGATAGATGCATCTTCCAGCTAATTAACAAAGAAAGCCCAATGTTTATGGTCTACAAAAAAGACCACACTGAAAGTTTGACACATTTATAAAACTTTTAACTCGTTGTAACTTTTGCTTCTGCTAATCTATTTTACGTTTACATACATTATATATATCCACGGCAATTAATATAAAACCAATTCCATCAATTTCAAAGTTTGGAACTTTCAAACAAATTCATGAAAAATCTATACGCGAAAAAAATACACAAATAATAAAAGCATGAGGAAAAAAAACAAGTGAATTTATACACAAACAAAAAGAACAAAATAAGTAATAAAAAAATGAACAATAACACATTAAAATCGAGATATAAAAATAAAAAGAGATATAAAAAGAGAAAAGAGAAGAAGAAACATTTTTGTGAAAATATATAATAAAAACAATATAAAAGAAAGTTATGAAAATTAAATAAAGAATAGTATAAATACAATCTAATTAAAATTAAAAAATTAAGTTTTATTACGAAGAAAAAAGACAGGAAACAAGATTTATATCTATCACGGAGGGTATTGTGCCTCCACAGAGGCAAAGAGCTTATATATATTTTTTCCCCTCATTTTTTAAGCTAATATCTAAATAAGCACAACAATTTATTCATATAACTTTTTTTCCTCTTTATCTTATTATTATTATTATTATTATTATTATTATTATTATTATTATTATTATTATTATTATTATTATTATTATTATTATATAGTAGGTAGGCAAATATAAAATGAAACAAAAAAAAGTTATTATAAAGTTTTTAAATTAAATTGAAATAATTAAAAGTAAAAATAAATTATTAAAATTGAAAAAATTGAAAAAATCGCATTTAAAACGAAAATAATAAAAAAAAATGAAATCAAAATTTTTTTTTTTAAAAATATAATAAAAACAATATAAAAGAAAGTTATGAAAACTAAATAAAGAATAGTATAAATACAATCCAATTAAAATTGAAAAATTAAGTTTTATTACGAAGAAAAAAGATTGGAAACAAAATTTATATCTATCACCAAGGGTATTGTGTCTTCACAAATATATATATATATATATATATATATATTCCCCTCATTTTTTAAGAGAGAGTTTTTTTTTTTTTTTTTTAAAGCTAATATATTTTTACATATAATAACTAACTACAATGATAATTTTTATTTTTTTTTAACATAAAAAACTTGAAACAAAATTTTTACTTATAACTAACTCTTTACATTTTAGAAATATATTGAGCTAATTTTTTTTATTGAGCACGAAGTGAATAGATGAAACTTGGTGAGAAGTATGGAAAGTTGCGTGTTGCAGTAAATTTGGAGGTACACTGTATAATAAAATATATACTAAGACAAACGACGTCGTTTTTGCTCCCCCACTTGAAAAAAATAAAAATAAAAATGCTACATTGAGATAAAATGGATTAAAACACTATTCCCCTCAATAATTTCTCAACATTCCCCTCTTTATATAGTAGGGATAAGCCAAATTATTTTACTTTTTTTCTAAATAAATTTGCCAAGTAATTAATTGATCTTAAAAAGATTATTTCCCTATTTTATTTGCCAACTAATTTATAACTAGTGTTCAAGATGTTTATTGTGAGTTCGAGGATTTGTGTATTTCCCTTTCTCTCAGCAGCTACCTTCCTTTTTGATAATTTCTCATGCTTTAATGTATAAACATTATAATTTATAACTAGTGTTCGAGATATTCATTAGTTGAATTAATTTAATTTTATTGTAAATGTTAAAAATTTAATTATGCTACGGAATCGAACTGAATTGGTACGGTACAGTTCTACAATTAAATTTAGACTCGACGGTTCTACCTACTTAAACAATTGAAAGTTTTGATTCGTTTCATTTCTCTCATTGAACTGAATCGGACTACGTCCAACCCTACCGCACACCAACATACAAAATGATCATCGTGGTTTTCAAGCAGGTATTTTGACTTTCACAGTTGGAGTGAAAGACGAAGCCAAAATCCGTCAAATTTAGAGCCGATGGTTTCTACTTTCTACATTACACATTTCTTATTTTTTTAGGAATAAGCCACTATTACATTCTTTTCTTTACATTGTGGTTGACACTCCATTGATTTTATCCCAAGCAAAGATGACTCTTGAAAAACTCTCCCTCTTTTGGGCTGGCAAGGTCACATATTTGTTTGTTTTGGCAGAGTAAAAGACCACACCCAAAATATGAAATCAACAGAACCTTGAATGGTCAGCCACACACTTGCAATTTATGAAAGAAAGCTGGAGGCGGCGGGGTGGAACAATTGTAGTATTATTGGTTTAACTTAACGAGTAGCAAGGAATGAAGATTCACCGGAGAACAAAAAACTGTGTTTTGGACAATGAAACGAATCTCATAGCACTTGAAATTGTAATATTGATCGTTTTCTTCTTAAGTCATCTCTATTACAATACAAAACACCAACAAATTAAGGTTATTTTATTTGGGATCGACTTTATAAATCACTTATCTCCGTCCAATTCAGTCCATTGCCGTTGTCATATCTATATTCAGTGGAAGATTCAAAATACATGAAAATAATGTGGCTCAAACAAGGACTAAATTGAGAATTGGACCTAAGTCAACTTAAATCGAACTAAACTAACTAATCAGTTCGATCCAATTCCAATTCAGTACATACGCCAACCCCCTAATTCTTTTGATAAATTAAAGAATTACATTCGCACCACATTTTTTAAAAACTAATTTTATTTTAATTGCATTAAAAAATTTTAGCCTTTATTTATTTTTCACATTTAAATTCTTAACTTTTGTTTATCTCATTCTTGTTCTTAATTTTTAGTTAATCAGCAAAGTTTCTGGTTAATGCTGATTTTTGTCCAAATATTTTTATTATTCTTATAATACAAGAGAAATATTTCATTACAAATTTTTATTTTTTTTTTGTTTATTTAAAAATATGATGGGAAAGTAGTCTATCTTAATGAATTTTCTTTTAGCTGAAATCGTGGTAGGTGACATGTGAACTAATCAATGAAAAATTATGAATATGAATGCCAATGAAAAAAAAGCTAAAGACATAAATGTAATAATGAATAAATATCATACAGCTTTTATGCAAATAACGTGCACTTGTAATAATAAGAAGGGTTAATATATGCCTCCAGGGCATATCTCCAAGTGGTAAAAGGAGAGGGTGGAAAAATCCAACTTTACTTGAGGCTGTCGCGTCAAGGGTTCGAATCCTGAAATATAGATTTGGCTTTTGGGTAAGTGTAAGTGTACAAGCAGTCTTCCACCCTGTATCCTTGGAGGCATAACCTGCGATTTACCTCCCTTACGATACTCCAGGACAGGGGTGGTGGGAGATCCTCAAGGTTGGGATTCAACCCCTTTTTTTAAGAAGGGTTAATATATAGCCTGTGTGGTAATTTTGATAAAAGTTAATAAAGTATGTTATTAGAAAATTGAAAAAAAAAATATGAATCTTATAAAATGTATGGTTAGAGATTGTGTATTTAATTGGAACTTTTAAATATTTTTAACAATTTACAAAGTTTTGGAGCATTTAATGTAGATATTTTAAGACCTTTTACATGTATTTATATATTTTAGAAATACCTTTATAAATTACGATGTATTCAATTAAAACTTTTCAAAAGTCTATAAGTAATGAAATAATCAAAAGAATTTTTATTTTTTAAAAAAAAATCTATTTTCCTTTCCTCTTTTCTTCTAAAAACGTGAGAATCGTGATTAAAAAAATATTATTTTTTGTCCACGATTATATTTAATTTTTTTTTAAAATTTTCTCTTCATTTTCTTTAAAAAAAAAAAGATTAATTTGTAATTAAATATTTTCTCATAACATTTTTTACATCAACTATTTCTATGAAAAAAAATAAATTGTAATATTAAAATTTTAAGATTTTATTAAAAAAAAATCTAATTTGTAATTGTATATATATAAAAAAAAACTAGTATATAATTACATTTTAAATATATTGATTGGTTATAATATGAAAACATTAGATATTTCTTTTATTGAATAATATTGAAATATTAAATATATATTTTTTGAATTATAATTATTTATTTATGTGACTAAGGTGACTTAAATTGTGTATTCTTTTAAAAATATATTTTAATACATGGAGATGGGTAAGGGACGGTAAAGATTGAACCTCCACATCCCATGGTGAGACTTCTATTGTTAATTTCATATAAATTTATAAAAAGTATATAAATTCTACTTAAATTTAGTAACTAGAGAGAAATGCAATCTAGCTATAGCCCACAACAAACAGTCAAATTTGAGGCATACGAATACAGGGCCTGACTCTTAGGATTGCAAATCTCCGTTGCGAATCGTTTAGTTTGCAGCACAATTTCTGATGTTAAGGATCCTCAGGAGAAGTAAAAGCAGAGTATACTGTTGTTACTGCTCAAATTGCTGGTTTAACATGGCTGATAAAACTAATATTAGTCCTCCGGATTCCAGTGAGAAACAAGAGAAATTAGAAACTCATGATCTAAAGGAACTCAAGGATTTAATTTCTGAAATATTCCGTTCATGTTAAAATCTCTGAAGAACTCTCTTGGGTTACAGAGTTTCTTCAAAGTTTTTAATACCAAATTGTGAAGCTCTCTAATAGATGTCTGAGATAGCGCCTGTCCTTTCAGCTCCATAATTCTCCAAATTTCTTGGCCAAGGGATTGTGGAAGAGATTCAAGGTATGCCTGTTTGAGATTAGTGTCATCAATTCCTCCAAGAATATAATATCGTTTCATGATTTCTTTAAAGACAAATCTTTTGGCTTGTAGGAACAACACTTTAATTGGAAGAATTCTTCGCGGGCCTTTCTTTAGCATGGTCTGGTTTTCCACAAAACTCCCAATGTAGATTTTCAAAGAAATTATCAAAATCTTGGATGTTTGCCCATTGTCATTGTCTATAGCTTCCAAGATATATGAACCATTCTTTCATGAAGCCCGTGAGCCTGGCCAGAACTCCTCTAACGACCACATTATGAGTCATATCAGGTTTCGTTAATTCCGTAGTGCTCCATGGCAACATTTCTTGTAACCTTGGTTTCCATTGAGAAGGTGGTATATCATCAAGAGTAAACTTGTTAGATAAATTACTATGTTGTGAATAGTAATTATTAGATAAATTACTATGTTGTGAATAGTAATTATTGTAACTGTTTGGCCTTCTTCTATGTTAGGCAAATCATCATCTTCCTATGCCTCCTAGGAAGATTTTTCAACTTTTGGACCCCTTTGTGTTTCGTCAACCATGTATAAAGGATTGTAATCTTCATCTGAAGATTCATAGGACTCAGAGCTAGTTTCATCGGTTATGAGGATGGGTGAAGATTGTGTGCTGTTAGGTCATGAATTTTGCATTTTTCTAGGAAAGTGGAGATAGATTTTTTTTTTTTTTTTAATCATCATTTATGATGGTCTTTGTAAAGGATTGTCTATAGATTCTGATGGTTTGATCATTTGTGACTATCTTCTTGTAACTTTGGGTGGCCTTATCTTTCTTTCGTATTCTTCGGGAGTGAACAAAAAGACGGTTCCATAGTTTGGTGTTTTTTCTGAGGTTGTTAGGCTATATGTTGAGGGTTGTGTTAATGAAGAGGAAGGCCAATTTATGCTGGAAGGAAAGAAGGCTTGGGATTCCATATGAGTCAACTGATTTTTTAACTGTTTGATTTCTTTTTCTTGGTCATCAAAAGGGAGTCGTTTGGCTAGAAGGGTCATTATTTCATTATGAACTGAATCTATTTTTTGTTTGCAGGCTTCAATGGGAGAGGTTAATGTAGCAGTTTGTTGGTTGAGAGTCCTTTCAATCCTTTGCTGACTTTTATCAATCCTTTACTTATACATATACAATTATATAATAGTTTACATATAAATAAGTTGTAAAAAAAGAGTGAACTTTTTTTTTACTTGGTTGAATAAATTAATTCTCACCAATCATATATTACCACATAATGTATATTTAATCTATTATCTAAAACTATTATGCACGTATAGTACAACTGTTTAATAAAATCTATGAAGATTTCTAAAAATTTCAATTGAATATATC